CAGATTATGAAAAAAATGCCAAATGTAAACTGAAAATATTAATCTTAAGGCAGAACTAGAGAAAATAAAAAAGATATCACCAATCTTACAGTTAAAAATTCTGAACTTAAAATCCAAGTAGCAAAATTAAGTCGTGATTTCGAAGAAATCAAATCAAAAGAAATGACCACTGATTATTCAAAGCAATTGCAAATTTTCTCATTAACTAAGAATGAGATGGTAAGTGTTTTTACAAAAATAAAAAATTCCGATGATACTCCTAAAACGACAGACTTACGATATTATGGTACACCTGTACCTGATATAACTACATAAAACCTAAATCTTCTGAAAATAGAGAGATCGAAATTTCTGGATCGTGTACATAAAGTAACGAGATTAAAGAAAAAAAATAGAAATCAACTATCCAGAATGTTTCTTCTGACTTGTCACGTGACACAAAATCCGGTAGACAAAACAATGTTAACGAAAAATTGACATAAATTTAATAATTTAATATATCGATATCGAGTCGATAAATTTAGGTTGACTACGAACACTAAATCCGTTTAGTATATTTTTAAGTTTATGCCGGGTATAATACATTCCACGGTCAAATTACAATTAGTGCTCGGGATACTATACTTGGTGATTTTTCATATGAAAAATTTTTTACATAGATGGAATACCCTGTACGGTGATGCTTGTTTTAAACATATTATTAAATTAATAATCTTTAGGTTTTACGGGTTAAATACTAAAAATTTTGAAATTGGAATGACCTGCAAAACAATTTCTACTCAGTTGGGTAGAGATTTACTAGTATGATGAAAGCATTTCAAAAATTAGATTACGAAGAAGGGTAGCGTGGCCGGGAATTATATTACGTAACAGATCTTGCATCAAAATTGCTGTATGTACCATGTACCATGTACCATTTTTTCTTTCATATTAAGAAATTTGAATTGTTTTTTTTTTTATATCTTCTTTTCCCAATTTTATCATTTGATATTCGACCACTCCTTTCACGTTCTATAGTTAGTACGTTTTCATCACGATGGGGCAGAATCTTACTCGCGATAATTCATTCCCATTTTCATCAAAAAAGCGTCCCGTATTATTCATTTTTATTATTGTTGCTGGGTACCTTATTAAACAATATGTCGCGGAAGAAAAAAGGAGAAAAGCCGCTCAAAAGGCATCTAGTGTTTCATCTGACCCAGAGAGGGGCAGACGATCGAAGAAAATAGGTGTAGACGCGCGCTTTTTCGCACAGGTTAGAAAGCTATTACCAATTTGTATACCAGGTAGGTGAAACTTTTCTCTATGTGTTTAATCCGCTGATTTCCTGTGCTCACACACATCACGTTGGTAGGTTTTGCTTCCAAGGAAACAGTGCTACTAATTAGTTTAGCATTGGTTCTAATCGCTCGTACTTGGCTTGATATATGGTAAGAATCGATAATATAATCAAGAAATTCTCGAAATGATATTAGCCTTACAGTAGTGGAATTATTAAATTCAGTGTGGGTAAACTTTGATCTGGACAATCTTTTTATTCGTGATAGAAATTTGTTAATAATATGGGCGCTTGTCCACGTTTTGTGATGATTTACTTGGCAAAGTTTTGTAAGATTAATGCTATTGCTTTCTAATTTTATCTAACAGGTTTTCTGGGTTTAATGGGTAAGTAATACATTTTATTTTCCTTGAATTTTAGAATGGCATTCTTAAAGTCTTTTTATTTTGCTTTTTGTAAATAGCCACGTTGTTAAAGCAATTGTGTCGCGTGATCGAAAAACATTTATTGCATTAGCTGTTGTTGAATTTGGATTCATGATGGTAAAGCATTTATCTTATATACACATCCTTTTATTATGGAAAATCACACCAGTGGTGTTTACCACCGTAGTTGCTATGTCTCAAAAACTAGCAAAGTAATTAATACCTGGTGCTCTAGGCAACATCTCAAACAACCCTATTCTGACCTTAATCATAACTTTTACTAATCCTGCTATATATAAAAATATATACGGTGTTGACCACCAATGGTGTGATTCAGAATTACTTGATAAATAATCGAATATGCTTATGTCTATCATTTTATCTTAGTGGCCGATGAGTGTTGTGAATAATTCGTTGAAGCTTACTATAAGTGCATTATCTTTGGCATTCAGATCTCGGCTTACAAAGGTATTAATTGAACCGGATCAAATTTCTTGTCGAGGATGAAGCTTGGAATCGGATGATACTGAGAATTCGGGGGCCCAATTTAAAAATATAAAATCCACATATACTCTTTTATTATAAACTCTAAATTCTAACCTAACTTTAAAAAAAAAGCTAAAAAAAAATAGCTCAAAAAATTTTTAAAATTTTATATTAAAATTCTCAGCATCATCCGATTCCAAGCTTCATCCCCGACATTTATTAATTTGTTTAATATATAAATATACTCACAAATTTGAATTTGAATGTTATCCTTTATTTGCATACATTATAGCACGCAAATAAGAACTACTCAAAAGATATTGTTTTCTATAAGATTTCTAATCTCGATAATCGGATTCAAAACGCAGATCAATTATTGACTCAGGTGGGCGTCTAAAGTCATTTGTCTTTTATATTAGATAAAGTTTATCAATTTATATCTTTTTATTATAAGGATATCGATAAGTTTGCAGAAAATCTAAGTCATTTATACTCGGATTTTGCTAAGCCGCTTGTCGATATGGTATTGTTTGCTTACAAATTAGGCGAAGCCATGTATGTAATAATATTACAATTATATCGTAACGTTATATTTCATGTATATTGGATTAATATATTGGTGTAATTACTTTACGCGTAAAAAGTGGTAAAGAAGGTATATTTCATTGAACAAGGATAAAATTAAAGTAAATACATGTGGTGGCTGAAGCTGAAATTGACTGAAACTGAAATCTGGATCTATTTATATGAAATTTTAAAAACTTTTGGGGGGGGGTGTTCTTTCCGTTTTTTTTTTTTTTTAGGATTTGGTCATAATTTAGGGTTATAATTGATAATTAAAAAGTATATGTGGATTTTAGTAGGGTTTATATTTTCAAATCGAGACTCCCAAATTTCAGCATCAGCCAATTTTAGCATCGTCCCCCACAATATATATATACACTTTTCTAACTTATTATTATTTTATTTAGCACCGATTT